ATATAGTTTTTGAAAAGTGACTGTATTTCTGTGTTTTGCTAATCATCAATTGAGAACTTTCTTTAGTCTTGCTTTTTGTATCAGCCAGGGGCCATTAGTCTTGCCATCTCCTAGGATTTCATTAGAAATGCAGAATTGTGGGCACAGCCCAGTTCTATTGAATCAGAAGCTTCATTTTAACATGATCCCTATATACTTCATTGGAGCCTTAATATTTACAAAGCACTTCCATATGAAGTTTATGAAAAAGTATCAATGAAGTCACTTAGAGGTGAAAATTTTATTTCTGAGGTATGAACTCAGTGTTTGCCTCTAGTACACTAAACAACACAAGTTGAAACACGAGAATTATGATAAATGAAGTGAAAGAAATATTAAAACAGTATAAAATAATTGTGACTGATTCATAAATTAAATATGATAATTTCACAGAAAGTGATGTTTAAGTGAATGTAAAGCCATTTCTACTTAATAATTAAATAGATTGTGTTGTAATTCATATGGTAATGTTACTTTTCTTCTCTTGTAGTAAACAAAGTCATGCTATATTTTACTATAGCTGAATATTATGGTATGAAATGCAAATGCTAGTACAAATTCTCTATGTTATTGTCTTATCAGAAAACGTGGGAATCATTACCTTTAAAAAAAATAGATTCTTCTCTCTTACCGTACACCACAATCACAGTTAACCCATTTACCCATTCCTTCTAGCTCCTAGTCACCTCCTCTCTCCCCAGATCCACTTCCCCTTCATTTCCTCTTCAGATAAGAACAAATCTCCAAGAGAGATAGCCAGACAGGACAAAATACAACACAATAAAACAAGGCAAGAACGTTCATATCAAGACTGAACAAGGTGACCCAATAGGAGGATGAGTTTAAAAAGCTGACAAAAGAGTCAGAGATATCAGAGATACAGCCACTCCCAATTGTTAGGAGTCCCACTAGAACACCAAGCCAAGAGCCATAGAAATGCACAGGGGACTTGGTGCAGACCTATGCAGGCCCGTTCTTCTCATTTGTCTCTTGGAGTCCATGTGAGCACTGCCTAGTCGATTCAGTGGGCTATGTTCTTCTTGTGTCTTCTATCCCCTCTGATTTTTTGTTTTGTTATTTTTTGTTTGTTTGTTTGTTTTTGTTTTTTTGTTTTTTTTGTTTTGGTTTTGGTCTTTTGAGTCAAGGTTTTTCTGTAGCTATTGAGCCTATCCTGGACCTAATTCTTGTAGACCAGGTTGGCTTCAAACCCTCTGATTTTTAGAGTCCTCCCTTCTCTTCCATGGGGTTCTGGATCTCTAAGGAGAGGGAACAATGGACAACTCTCATTTAGACTCTTTTGGCACATTCTGTGACTGTGGGTCTCTGCATTACTCCCATCCGCTGCTGGAGGAAGCCTAGCTGATGCAGGTACTGATCTGTAAGTATAGGAGAATATCATTAGGAGTCTTACATTGACTTTTTTCTCCAGTTGTATTTGATTCAACCTTAGGTCACTGGATTCTCCAGTCTCTGGTTCCTGGCCATCCCAGCAGTATAAGACACAGGCTTCCCCTCCTGCCATAGGCTTCACATTAAATCAGACACTGCTTGGACACTCCCAAATGATCTGAGCTGCCCCTGCTCCAGAACATCATACAGGTGGGACAGATTATAGGTGGAGGATTTTGTGGCTGAGTTGGCTTCCAGGTTTTTCCTTCCACAGCCTACAGAGAACCTTTTCACATCACAGAGATTGGAATGTAGGGGTAAAGCCTCCAATCCCACAGCAGGTCAACATCTCTACACTCAAAAAGTCAAGTAGTAGTTGGCCTTAGCGATGGAGTGCTGCTGTTAATTTTCAGAGGGTGAACTTCATTCCTAGAATCATCCTACAATCTTCTATCTTAGCATCAGCATGGGATCACTGCTGAATCTCTGCCAACAATTCAACAAAACGTAACCCAGTCCTACCACTGGAACAAGCCTTGCCTGGCTACAAAAGATGGTCAGTTCAGACTCCACATCCTTTATTACTAAGAGCTCTCGCTAGGATCACCTTCATAGATCCCAGGAAGAGTACAATGCATTGTTTCCACACACACCCTCAAATATCCTCAGACTCCAGCTGACCCTCCTCATATTCACGCCCTCAATATCCCCCTCCTGATCCTTCCAACTCCCCTCCCTCCTCAACTCCCCCCAGTCCACCCTCAGAATCTATTCTATTTCTCCCTCCCAGGGAGATCCATGCTTCTATCTTATAGCCATCTTCTTCACCTAACTTCTCTGGGTCAGGAGATTATAGCTTGATTATTATTACTTAAAAGATAATATACACTTATAAATGAATACATACTGTATTTTTTTCTAGGTCTGAGTTACCTCACTGAGGATAATTTTAATTTCTAGTTCCATTTATTTGCCTGTAGACTTCATTTTTTCAAACATTGAGTTCTCCTACATTGTGTAGATATACCACAATTTCTTTAGCCATTTTTCAGTTGAGGGATATTTAGGTTGTTTCCTGAATGGGACTGTTATGAAAAATAAAGCCATAATACACATAGTTGAGCAAGTATCCATGCTATATGACGGATTATGGTGTGGGATGTCCTTCTGTATATGCGTTGCTTTTATTGGTTGATAAATATTCAGGTATATTTCCTCTATGCCATCAAAGATTGGGTCTGGTTTTCAAATCTATTCTGCTAATTCATGTCTTTTTACAGGAAACTGAGACCTTTGATATTGAAAGATATCAATGAACAATGATTGTTAAATTCCAGTTATTTTGATGCTATTGTTGTTTATGAATATGTATGAGACACTGGGGATTATCTGTTAATTTAGTATCTGCATTAAAATTAAGTTGGCTCATTGTGTACAAAATAGATATAATGAGTCTGGAATTAACATTGATGATTGTTTTTCAATCACAAAATAAAGTTAATGAAAATAGTTTAAACTTAAAAAAGGGAGTGTGTGTCTATTTTAAGTTTTACTGTTTCTTTATTGTTGTTTGAGACAGGATTTCACTATGCAGGCCACGATGGTCTGGATACTACTGTTAGCCCAGGATATCCTCCAATTCAGGGAAATCTCTGCCTCATATATGCTGTGTTAATAAGCATTATCTAACATCTTCAGCTGGTTTTAATTTTTAAAATTACTGTGTGCTATTACGTATTTTCTTAGTTGGCATTTAAAATTCCAAAAAGAAAATCCTGATTTAAAACAATTCACTTCAAACAAACAAACAAACCCTGACACTTTATAGCATTTATTGAATGTGAGTCATGGTTTAAGTCAGTAGCTGTTGAGTGTTGGACTCTCTCCACATGGTTTACATAAATATGCTTTAGTGATGCTAATGTTTATACTGTCATATTTTGTGCATGGCGTGCTAAAGGTGATGGGAGGTTTTGATGAGGCTGAGAGAAGAGGATTGAAGCAAACAGTGGAAGAACCCTTCTCATTTACTGCGATGACTTTCTCAGCTCCTTCAGTAATGACTGACTAGAGACAGCTGTGCAAGATGATGAACTACTACGATGCTGCTGGAACATTTCCAAGAATGGAAAGCTCTAGAAACCTATCGCTACTTTTTTCTTCTCTGCACAGTATTTTTTATAATGCAGAGCCCATTGAATGTTCATTTTCAAATATATCCTTGATAAAAAATGTTAGACAAGATGCTTATGGATATTCTGGCCTGATTGTATTTTAGAAGATTTCACTTATTGAGTGACTCTTTAGATTGTTTAAAAGGAGGAAGGTCTCCATAGGCATGCTCAGTTTGATTGTATTGTGTGACTCCACCTCCAACATTTCATTAAATATTTTTTAACTTCCTATTTAAAAAAACAAGCAATTCTAACAATACTGCATTTTGTAATATGTTATTATATATAGCAGGAGGATTGTGACTAATTTTCTTTCATGGAACTATTTTAATTTTCTATTTCTTTAGAATATTCAACATTAAAAAAATAGCTTAGTGTGAATAAACTTCTGCTGCTGCTCCAGACGTCCTCTGACAGTTTTATAGCTCATACTCAAAAAGTTTTAAAGTTACACAACACCAATAGCTACAGGTTCATAAGTCAACAGAGGAAATAACCATCTGCATATTCTATTTAGGGACACCTACTTACAAAATTGCACAAATTGTTTATCAGTCATAACTTTATGAATTGATGACCTGTGGAGTAAGATCTCAGTCATCTGGAATTTGTAAGCATAATTAAATTTTTAAACAGTAAGCTGTAAAATTCACTATAATTTTCTTTCAGCTGCCAACTGATTTATATGCTTCTGAAGGCAGCAGCTAAAGTGGACTTCAGGTTCCAACCCAGTCTTAGCAAATTAGATCTGTGTTTTAACAAATCCATCAGGGATGTTTGTAGCAGTGAAGTTTAGGAAGTACAGGTAACCAAATTCTTTAAATTATGTCTAGAATAACAAGACATTGTAGAAGCCACAGTCCTAAAGCGCCCTTGAAAGTAGTTACAGTTTAGGACATTCTCATCTGCACTAAAAAGCTTAGGTATTAGAAATTCCAAAGTGAAAAATAATTTCTGACTTACATGCTTTAAAATTGTACATATAGTTGTCTATATATGCTAGTATAGCTTTTTGAGTTTAGTTTCCTTTTGGGTAAAACAGAGAATAAAAATTGTTTCTAATAATTGAATTTGTCTCCTATTGTATTTGGCGCTCCAAATTTTTGACAGTTTGAGAATATTATTTTGGTTTCCTTAAAATTATGGAAATCATGCTGCTTTGTTCCCTGCATGAGTTAAAATAAAATATTGGTAATTATGCATATTTAACTTTCAAAAGGCCAAGTGATTACTCACAGCACTTATAAAAAGGAAAATTATTCCAGATAGTCATAAATCAGCTCTTTGGTAAAGGATTTTGAAGTCTGAAGTTGTTGTGTGATGAATATGCCCACTGAGGAAGATCAGGTTGAAATATGAATTTATTATCATCACTCTTCTTTCTTTGTTCTTTCCCAGATGCAAGACAAAAGTCTACCCTGACGAACTTCCAAACACAAGTGTAGTCATTGTGTTCCATAATGAAGCCTGGAGCACTCTCCTTAGAACTGTCTATAGTGTCATAAATCGCTCTCCACACTACCTGCTCTCTGAGGTCATCTTAGTCGATGATGCCAGTGAAAGAGGTATAGACTCTGCTTTCCACGCCTGTAATTTGGAACCATTTCTATGGTCAGGAGGTAGCTGGGCAATGATCTATATTCTGCTTTATAATCAATCACCTATCAAACTGATATATACCATATTTTCATATATGCATTTCATAACTTGTATACATTGTTTATGCACATTCAACTCTGAGAACAATTAAATACTTTGTTGGTATATCCTATTTGTTCCTAACTATCATCAGAAATCAATGAAAATGGTATTTTTAAAATGTTTTCTTTCCCCGACTAGTTAATACTGAGAATTTATATGATTTGATATGTAGCATTAATTAACTGATGAAATATCTACTAGTTTATTTTACTTTAAACTCTACACATGAAACTGTATATGCATATGAAGTCTGAATGTATGAGCTGAGGCTGCCCCTCAGCTGAATTTGCTTTCTAAGAGTGTCGCCATTCTGTGCTGAGACAGCTCCAACTCTTCCTCATCCATTCTTGTTCGATGTTACAGATTTTCTCAAGTTGACATTAGAGAACTACGTGAAAACTTTAGAAGTACCAGTAAAAATTATCAGGATGGAAGAGCGCTCTGGGTTGATACGAGCCCGTCTCCGAGGAGCAGCTGCTTCAAAAGGACAGGTCATAACTTTTCTGGATGCACACTGCGAGTGCACCTTAGGATGGCTGGAGCCCTTGCTGGCGAGAATAAAGGAAGACAGGTAGGGAGTCTGGTGTTAAGTCTGCAAAGCTTACACCTGAACCTTTGAGGGCAACTCCAGCTGTCCATCACAATGCCTCAACCAAGGTTCTATTTTCGGGAGGTTTATTTCATATGCTTTGAAAAAAGATGAAAATAGGACTGATTCATGTTGAGCAGGGGTAATTGTTTAAAAAATAATCAAATGATTCAATGAAAAATGGTTTGAGCATTTATAGGTGAAATAAATCAATCCAGTCTGACAGCATATGTTGTAGGCAATTTTCGAAGCACCTCTGGTACTCTCAGCTCCCCGTGCAGTGATTGCTGATGTTCTTACAGACTTGCTCATGTTCCTGGAAGTTCAGTGAATACTTTAGTTCTTCCTACTCCCTCAGCAGTGTTCTCTTCACTGCTCCAGTGCCCTCGATCACAGTCTAGTTCAACTTCAGCACGATGCTCTTGAGAAGACACACACACACACACACACACACACACACACACACACACGCCTTTCTGAAATAATACCACTGTTAAAAAAAGGAGTAGAGCACAGTATAATTATTTCAACAATAGTCTTTCTACCTGTCAGTTTTAAAAATTTTTAAAAATTAAACTTTGTGAAGACTTTTCGCGCATACCTGTAGTTCCTCCTAATGATGATGACATTTTGTAGCTATTCATAAACATGGGTGATAAATTAGTGTAATTCTTAGTACCTAATGAAGATAACAAACAATGAGTGCTATATATTATGATAAAGCATTGTAGAACACCTTGCTTGCACAGCCATGTCCTGTGCAGTAGAGGATCCCAGAACTGAAATGTTTAATTAGACACTCCAGACTACGGCTGCTTTGTATAAGTTAGTTCAGCCACATCACATAAATGGCAGGAGCTGGTGCTTTCACTGAAGATAGATGGAGCTTGTCAGTAAAATGAATCCCAGTAGTTCAAGACGGCAGTGGGAACCTTTTAGTCAACTGAGTAGAGCGTATGACTAGCAGCATTTTGTGTGCTGTGCTCACACAAAAGAGAGACTGGCAAAGCAAAATGAACTTAGGCTCTCTACAAAGTATTTTCTGGACCTTTTGAACATTATACTGTTCTTTTAAACATGCATTTTATATTTAATATAATACTTTGTTAATATAATGTTTCATTATAGCCATGCATAAGCCTTCTATTTTTTCTAACAATTCATTTGCATTGTATTTGTACACAACGAGTCTTTCTCCTGGTTTTAATATTGTCATAACAAGACAGTAAAATTCAGTAAGTAAAAACACCATGATTTGGTTGTCTCCAGATACACCAAGAAGCTTTTCAAAGGGTAAATGAAGCTTATTGATTTCAGAGAAATTCAGGCGATCGACAATTGTGTGGCACATTAGAATTTCTTGACAATAAGTGATGGTAATATTGCAGTTACCAAAGAAGATGTAATTGAAGTCCTGTTTGGCTTTCCCCACCTCTGGGTGACTTAGAATGCATACAATCACTCTGTTCTTCAAACTTAGCTACAATTAATGCCACTTGAGTAGACTTGAACTCTTGGTTCTGTAGTGAACCGCTAAAACCACAAGAAGCCAAAAATGATTAGAAGCCAAGACATAGATAAAACAATGAACCCAGGAAAATAACTAAGTGAAACATTCTTACCCTAAATAAGCTCACAAGAACCGTAAACATCTTGACTATTCGTTTACTATAGGAAAGTAGGCTAGACCACAAAGAGCTGCTGTCTTTAACAAAGCACCTGGATTAAGACAATGACAGACTGTTAGTTCTCCGACAGCATGCTGAAAAAGTTGTCAGTGCCCTTGTGCCCTCTACATAAACTGTTTACTGGTACCTATAGATCATCCTTTTAATTGATTTTGCTTGTTCTTCCTAAAAGGAACTTTCTCTGTGCCGAGTTTTCCTGTACTCTTTAAATTAACTTAATATATTTAATATGCAAACCTCCAGATCCAGTTTTCTATTATCCATTTCTATCTATCTATGCAATTGCTTCTCAGTGGGTTATAGCTAAAATGATGTATAGTATCAGAGCATCTCAATTAGCCATGCTCTGGATGGAGGTTTATGAGAAATAGACCATGTTCACCTTGCTGAGTTAATACGTAGGATGCATTTTAAAGTCAGCTTGAAGGTCAATTAAAATATTTGACTAGATTTCACATCACAGCTTTGAGGTAAAAGTGAGGGGGAAAAGGTGATGTTAGAAGAAATGTTTCAGCAGAGAAAAAGGATAAAATAAAAATAAAGACATAGTAAAGTCATAAAAATAATTAATTGTAATCATATCATCTAAAACCAACTTGAAGAAGCTAATGTAAATTATTATTTATATATGAATTGGTTTTTATTTTCTATAGGAAAACAGTTGTGTGCCCCATCATTGATGTTATTAGTGATGATACCTTTGAATACATGGCTGGGTCAGATATGACTTATGGTGGTTTTAACTGGAAACTAAATTTCCGATGGTATCCTGTTCCTCAAAGAGAAATGGATCGAAGGAAAGGAGACAGAACATTACCTGTCAGGTATGTAGATCATTACTTCCCAACTAGTCGTATTTTTATTCTTCCCTTAACCAAAGGATATTATAAATCTGATCTCAGTGTTTAAAGATCCTTAGAAATATTTATTATTTATGTACATTTTCACCTTTTATGCAATCATATAAGAATGAGTGACAATTCTGTTATGGGTAAAATTGTCACGGGCAAACTTGTGTGTTGCTATAAATGCTAGGTGTGTTTAGACGCCTTAGGGTTCTGGTATACTGTCATTGTCTTAATCCAGGTGCTTTGTTCAAATAAAGACAGCAAGTCTTGTCTTTGTCTTCTACCCTAGTTTCCCATTGTCAAATGAAATTTCTATATGATTTCTGAATGTCTTGATATTTCAAGTAAATATAAAGTGCATATTATGATAGAAGTATTCTCAAACATGAAATGACCAAAATGCTTTGGTAATTATTCTAAATTAATCCCTTAAAAACCACCTTCCTTTATAATCATAAAATAGTCAAGTGAAAAAAATATCCTGAGTTAAAATGTTAAAAGAGCCTTTTTTGGTTCAAGTTAAACAACTACTTAATTTGAAATATTTGTCAGTAAAATGCATCTTACTCGTATTTTTGAAATGTATATCTATTACAATTTTCTACACAATTAATCATTTAAGTAACACCAAAATATCTCTACCCTATTTTAGGTTTCTTGCCTGCAATCAAATATTGATTGTCTAAAAATATTTAGAGCAGTAGTAGACTAGATCATCTCTTTAAAAATGAACTTAGCAAATCACTTTTTTTCTTGAAAGAAAGGAAAATATTAATCTTCATAAATAGCATACATATAAGGCCTAATTTAAAAATGGCCTTGTGTTGGGGTGAGATTACTTCCTAATTTTATGATGCCTTTAATTAAAATAAAAAATTGGGTGGTAGAAGCAGCAGTGACAGCACACACGCAGAGAGAGGCAGAATTTTGTAAGTTAAAGGCCAGCCTTTGTCTACAAGAGCTAGCTCCAGGGCAGCCAAGGATGTTACACACAGAAACTCTATCTCAAAACAAATAAACAAAAAATTTGTGGTAGAAGAGATAGCTCTAATTATATGTTGCTGAAAAATTAAATAGTAAATAGTGTTAACAGTTTTTAAGAGATATACTATCAAAGCAAGAAAAAATTAAGTGTGGCCTGTGATAGTTGCCTAAAGATCTGTCACTGTGGAGAATTATAATCTAGCATCTAGCTTTATAATGCTCACATCTATCCATCTTTATTGTCCACTGCATTAAAGTTGAGAAAACATAACAACTCTGATTTATTAACAATCCTCTCATCCCATATTCTAGTTTTATTGAACCTAGATAATTTTTAAGTTTTGGTCCCAAGTGAAAATGATCAAAACACTGCACAGCGACACCCAAATACTCTTAATGTATTTATTCAATTGAAAATGACGTTTGTATAAACATGTGTTTTTCAAAGCTTACCGAAAGTACATTTGTGAAAGCATAGTTTATTTAACTTTATTATCGCAATTGGAAAGGTAAAAATTAAGGAAGCCAACGCTACTAGTAGTGATGAACTGATCTCATTCATAAAAGTAAAAAGTGAAAAGAGAAGCAGTCATTGTCTTCATATTTTGCAAACTAAAATAAAAGTTGACTCATTCAACACACTGTATTTTAGCCACACTTTGTGTAATTTTGGTGAAATGCTATGAGAACCAATCCAATTTATTTCTTTTTTTTTAAACTTACTCAACATTATTTTATTTTCTAAAGTAATGAAAGGAATGGAGAAACCTCAGTGTCTGCTGAAGGTTGGAGATTCTTATGGCAAAAGGTTAATTAATTCATGAGCACCGTTGTGGCAGCAGGCAGGTAATTTTCATCAGCAGAGCTGCGCTGTGAACTTTGTGTTTCTCATTTATTACTCAGAGATGCGACCATTTTTGTCACACTCATGCAAACAGATAAATTATTCTATGTACTGAAGATAGATCTTTTCCCCACTTGATCAGCAGAACTCTGAATACTTAAAGAGATCAAAGTAGATTTGAGGTTTTAGTTGTCTGAAGAAGAATGCTTAATTTAAAATGTCTCTTGTGACAAAACTTTGTAGTCACTATAATTGACTCATCATCACTCAGTAATAAAAGTATGCAATTGCAATCATAGTGTATCAATTTGAACTTGTGATCTAAACTCAATCATAGTAATAATAAAATGTATAATTACAATACTATACCACACTATATTATTCTGAATGTACTGTACATTGAGCCTAGTATTTTTAGTTGTAAAAAGAAGTTTGGGATTACTTAGTTTTCTTTAATCAGTAAAGTTCTTTGAAAGCATTTAGCATTTCAGCTGTCTGTACAAGGCAGTGACCACATTTTTAAGCAAGAGAGCATGATGTAGGAACCTATGTGCCAAAAAGCATCTCTAAATGTTTTCTGTTTGCTTAGGTTTAGTGGTTCATACTTGCATTAAATTACCGATTTTGAAATGAGATATCTAAGACAAAATTTGGCACTTGTGACGATCAAAAACTCTTGGCGCAATGCTGCAGCCTTGCTGAAGGGAGCTGAGTAGAAACGTCTGTATATAAAAGGCACAGGAACCTAGTATTGTCCTTGTAAGTCCTATGATTGTGTCTCTGACTCTAAGCCTGTGGACTGGTTGTCATTTATCATCTTTCTTGTGCTTGGAGGAATAGAGTTTAGCACTTCTGTCTGTCTCAAACGTAGGTGAGAGAAATATGTTTAATTAACATAATTCACTATGGTTATGGTCTTTAAGTTTGTGACATTCAATTTGGAGTCTACTTCCTGAAAGTGACTGAGTTTAAAAGACATTGAGCACATTAATCATATGAATATGCATTTATGTATTACTCAACAAAATAGCAAACTAGCAAAACTGCTTCTTAATAAAGATAGCCACATCAAACTGGGGACTATCTTATTTCAATTTTGGTTTTGGTGATAAAATACCTTGACAAAAGGCAGCTTAGAATAGACGGGGTTTCTTCAGTTCGCAATTTCACCATTATAGCAGGTGAGTCAAGAAAATCAGAAAATGAAGCAGCTCTTCACATCACAGTAGAGAGAAGAGAGAAAGGAAGGCAGGCATTTTCTCATCTAGATTTCTCTGCCCTCATGAAGTCCGGGGTCCTGAACTTCCGAATGGTGCTGTACAAGTTGAGACTGGTTCTTCCCACATCTACTGAGACACTTTAGATAATTTCCCCCAATTGTGCTCAGAGGACAGACTGATCTTCTCAAACTCTCACTGAGACTCCGTGAAAACTGGGTCTAGCTGACAATTAAAACCAGCAGTCACTGAAATATGTTAGTCACTTTCTCTCTAGCACATGAGATTTGAGGTGATTTGATTTCGGTATTGACTTAAATATGATTTTGTGTGAAAATGTAGTTGCACGCAGCTTCTGGCCACAGTGCTAGACTCTGCACATACAAACACTTGTGGCAATCTCCTGCTGCAGAGCTATTTACTGTTCAATATTGGTCTTGCATATTGTGGATGAAGCAAGAGGTCAGTACTTGCAGATTGATTGTGGGTGTATAGAAGTTAGCTATGTTAATATTATAGCAGTGTATATTTCTTAAAAAAAAACCTTGGTTAATACTTAGTGGCTGCATTAGTAATTTAATTATGATCTCTATTTGACCCTCAGTAAATAGTTATAAAGATACTTGTTTTTACTTTAATTTCTCACTCATTAGAATATATTTCTTTATAGGAGACTTGCTGATTATTTATCATCTATTAACTTTGCACTCTCCACATTATACCTCCCATTTTGTTGCTATTAATATTCTTAACATTATTTCTTTCATTCTTGCATTCACTACTCTGCCAAGTGTATTCTGAGAGTAAGCAAAGAGCTTTAGATATTTGTTTAATTCTTGCTCTCATGATGAATCACACACCAAGATTTCATAATTGGCTTTTATTCAGGACATAGTTTACTTACTTTTATATATTTTATTATTAACATTTATCTGATATACAATACTCTTTATTATATTAGAATTTTGTCTAAAATATAGCAAATACATTTGATAGCATGATTATTATACCTTAGATTATGACTCCCAAGCTATCATAGAAAATTGTCTCAGCTACTTTCTCTATAGCATTTTGGTGTGCTGTGGGAGAAGCAATGTACATAGAAGATATATTTGTAAATAATCTGGTATTTTTTGACTTTAAAAATGAAAATTATTTTTTCATTCATGCCTAAGTCATGTAAGGAATTAAAGTTACAGAGAGTATTAAACGAGAAATAATCTTGACAGAAGTAAGCTGTATTTTAAACTTATGCCTGATATTGGGACATGCATGCATTACATAGTCAATGTGCAAGTGTCTAAGTGCATAAGAAGGCATAAGACTAAACAGGCTCCACCTTCTTCAGTATCGAGTTTTCTTCCAGAGTGACTCTTCAAATGTATTTTTGCATAGTTTAAATTTTTCATACTATTCATTAATATTTTATGTCATTAATGTTGGTGTTTGTTTATTTTTTGTTTTTTAAAGAAACTTTAGTAAGTACTATTATTTCATTTATTTAGCGCATACTCTAATCTATGTAACAAAAATTATTGAAGATTCTTTTTGTCTTCAAATTTTATCTGTTTTCTGTTTTGTTTTGTTTGGGGGAAAGTCTCATTTATCTCATGCTGATTTTTAATTTATTATTTAGCTGAACATATTTTGAAGTTTATTATGAACTTTCTGCTTCCACCTACCCAGTACTAGCATTATTCATGGCATGTGCTTTATATCTGATTTTATGCAGGAATGGAATCCAGGACTTTATGCGTACTAAGAAAACAATGGACTAAATGACCGATATGCCTCGCCTCTAAGTGCCCTGTCCCTGAGCTACGCCTTTTGACTTTTTGTTACACCTTTCTTTAACCTACAGTTTGCTTAAAACTCATTTTATCTTGTTTTCTCGTCCTAGTTTTGTCATTCTGACACTTCATTTTCCAGTT